GATAATATAACACCAGTACCTCCAAGATCTAGCTCAAACATCCCAAGTAAAGAGATGCAGTCCAAATAAGCTACTCAACCAAGAATTATCAGCATTGGGACATTTGGTCCTAAGAGGGGAGGAGTTAACGTTGCACATTATTTCAGACGTTAACCTATCATCTTTCACCAAAATATCACCAATTTTTTAAAAATTGCGAAATCGTCAACACAGCGATTTTGGGTGTGAACTACCTTAAAAATTGGTTCACATAAAAATTCTTTGAACGGTCACGTTGCGCCTATAAGAATTATGCTGATAATGCAAGTAGAGTGATTGGTAATTAAAATTAAAATTTTATAAAATTATTCATTAGTATTTTGTACTGACAAGTGAAAAATAATAAAAATTTATTTTGTTAAATTAAGTGAAAATATCGTCTTTTATTAAAATAAAGTAAAATAATTTTTCTAGTAAAATAAAATAATTAAGCCTTCCCTCTTAAAGAAAAGTTATATTCCCAAATTTTATAACTATTTATTGCAGCGAAAGCATAAGCATTTTTCAAATTTTGCATAGAAAAGCTGTTCTAAAGGTCTTCAAGGCACCTTATATTTCTGCAACTGCAAGCTTTTCCAAATTTCCAAGAATGCAGAAAGCTGTCGATAAATGCCATGCCATAAAAAATATATTTATTTTTCCTAACTCACGCAAATAAGCCTTTAATAATATGACTAACATTAATTTAAATAACGTAGTAGGTAGATTATTTTAAAAACAGTATTATTTTTTTTCACCTGTTGAAGGGGAAATTGCTGTTTTACAAGCCATTGGTTTGACCCAACTTTATTTAAAAATACCATAGTCATAAAAATTTATGTTATAAGAATACCATAAATATTTATTGATTACATATCACATACGTAAACATATGTATATTTTGTTAAAAAAATAATTGTTAAAAGCGAAATAGTTATATTTTTTATAAAGTGCTTTCTCTTTCTAGTAACACTGTTATAAATGGCTTGTGAGAGTTTTCGTAACTCTCATACTAGTTTTGGTATGTTTTAAAAACTCTTATAGAAATCTGACTAGGGTCTTTTAGTGTTCTACAAGACTGAAATTATAAGAGTAATATTCTTTAAGAATTCTCAATATAGCTCTACAAGAGTCTTATTAGATAAAAATTTTTACTTAAGAAATTTACGTACTTTCGGTACTCAATCGATTTCATTCGTAAATGAAGGTCAAAAATCAATAACTCTTGTCAGCTACTGTTTTTGTATTCTTGTACTTCTTTTCATCTTAGGTAAGAACCTGCTTTATTACATCAAAATCAATAATTTTTAGCAATTAGTTTTGGTACAAAAAATATTTTTAGGCTGAAATTAAAAAACCTGATGTGACCAGCAGATAAGCGACTGGAATGTATATTGTCTAGATTTGTAAAAGTATTCCAGAGTATTATGAACACGCGTTTTAAACACTTCTTTACTATTCTAAGGACACTAATAAGCATTTAGTTAACGTACCTACAAAAGTGTGTATTTGGCTCTTGGTACAGTTTAATTTTGTACCGTCCAAATTATACGACAAGTTCATTAGTAAGTTATGGTAACAAACAGAACTCAAATATTAAACTTCAAAAAATTCCATCAAATCGTTCCGTAGATATAGTAGAAAATGTAAAATCGGCCCCCAGTTTGGTTTCCGAGCCCTGATCTTTCCAAAAAATTTAGAAACTCATTGTTTTAACATCTCAAATTTAAATTTATATTTATGGTCGAGCGAAACTTGTATATGAAATTTCAAGTATTTTCTTCATAATGATTAAAAATTTTAAAACGGGCTCGCCAAAAAATGGAATTCCCGAGGCCTGATATATCCCAAAAGTTGATCAATCCGTGCCATAGTCAAAATAAGCTTACGTATAAAATCTCATCAAAATCGGATCAGCCGAACTTGAGATACACGCGTGCACACACAGACCGACAGGTTGCTAAAAATAGTTTATTTACACTTCCCTACCATGGAGAAGTGCATTTACACCGAAAACTCGATATGCAAAATTTGTTATATAAATTTGGAAACGTAAGTACAACTTATTTTAAAATAAACAAGTAAAAACGTTTCAGTCGGTATAAACCGACTGAATAATACCCTGCATGTTGACAATCTGAGTTTAAAAATTTGTTTTTGAAATATTAAAAAATAACTTTGATAGAAAAACATATTAATAGAAACTTTACGGATATTATGCCTGAGCTGTAAGTGGACACACGGCTGCCAAGTTTCGTGAAGCTGGCTTTAATATTTTTCCAAATATTAACTTTCGGCGTTGTATGGTAGCTACCCGGACCACTACAAAAAAGTTTTAATTACGAAGTTTCTTTTTTTGATTTTAACAGGAATGCTTTAAATTAACGAAAATGTTATATATAATATTAAATATAATTGAAAACGTTTAAGAAAATCCAATGCAGTTTAGTGCAAAATTAATTTCAATAGAAAATGTTTATTTTTGTTTCAACTAAATGTATTTCATATATTATTATGTGTATTTCTTTTAATTTTTCGTATAATTTTTAAAAATTCCGAAGTGTATAATATGTCAATTTTATTTTAACCCTACCTTGATAATATGGTGATAATATGGATAATACGTTACTATTATAATAAAATAAAATCTGTTAATACTTTTCATACTGTATCTATAAACATGTAATAACAATATTGCATAGTTCAAGAAAAAATTGGGAAAATATTACTGATAAAAAATTTTAAAATGTTAAATGATTTAATATAAGCAAGCATTGCAGAATTTTTCTCCATACGATATTTCAGTCCTTCAGATAAACACAGCATAATCTAAAATAAAATCTCATGGGATGTTTAATATTTACAACCAAAATATGTACGTATAAATAAATGTAAAAAAGTGATATGAATATTGCAACGATCATCGTGCGAATTATACAACATAAATAAATAAATATCACTACAGAATTTTAAAATAAATATTATTTTTATAGTAAACAAAATTAAACTGGTGTAATATAAGGATGGATTTTATCAACTTAAGTAAAAAAAACATATAAATCCCATCAAACCGTGAGCGCACAAAACATATTATTTCATTTAAGCGTTTTACATTTACATTACAAACTGCCTACTTACCGTGCAAACTTCAATAAAAATGGTTTGTGTTAGACATATGTGTATGAGTCATTTTAGAAAAACATAATTATCTTTTCACTGTATCTAACCATTTTTGCAACCTTCTTTAAGTTCTACATAAAACTTTTGTGACATTTTTAAAAATATTCCGTAGGACTTCAATTTATATACTTTATTTGAAGACTCCCGAGGAAGCTTAAGGAATCATTCTTTGTCCCATAACAAACTTTAAGATTTTTTCACGGTTTTTTTATAAAATGTCGTTTGACTACACTTGACAAGTTTTGTTTAAAACCCTTATCGAACCAAGAACCAAGATACCGTAGGACAATCCGCCGTCACACAATCCTCTCCCCTTCCGCTTCTTACAAAACTTGATTCAAAATTTTTCATTAGTTTTTCAAACAGCTGAGAAATCCAATTCACAGAGATTCTGTAAAACATACGATACACAAACCGGTTTTAGCCCAAATCAGTATATAAATCTTGGAGTTTCAAGTTTTAATGGCTAAGCCCCTAAAACTCCGTACCCTCATGAAATAAGAAGCGGTTTTATTTATGAAAATATTCTTTTTAACTTTCATTGATATGACTTTTACATAATATTCTCAGTTAAGTTCTCTACCTCTGTGTGGAACAACCCAACTGCTTAGAAAAACAATTTCTTCATCATACATACATATATGTTGAAGAATATTTACGAACATTACAGATCGTCAAATTGCGGGTACTTTGTTGACTTTAAAAATGGATAGTAGTTTAAGGAAAATTATTTTATTTTATTTTTCTTTTGCTACCTTTCACGTACGTATGTATATTTAGTTATAGTTGCACGTTTTATTTATGTTGTTTTGAAGGAATTCATGTTTTTCCTTAAATGAAGTGAAAATAAAAAATTTTCTTAGTTGATATTGCAATATTTTAGGTTGTTGACTTCTCTTGTACTCGTATGTTGCTATAATAGGTAATTTTAGATCAAATGCTGGAATTAGTTTTACAGTAAGGTGGTCAAGTTTTTATTTGCCTTTTTTGTTTTCCTTTTTTTTTAAATTTTTTTAAAGGTCATGCAGAATGCGCGGTCAATACTCTTTTAATTTATGGGTTATTTCATATATTAAGGAAAAAGGGTCAGCACAATTAAGAAAAAATAAATTTGAAAAACAGTTTTTTTATTGGTATGAAAAGAAAACTTCCTTTTATTCGGAATAAAATATTTTTTTATTTTTGCTAATATATTTTTGCGCTACATACGCCCTTTATCAAAGCTGATTTTCTTCTCACTTATTAAAATAATAATAATGAGGGATTTTAATATTTTTGAATTTATATTTTAAACGACATTTCGTTACTAATCGTTAAATCGTATCATGATGCTAGGAAAGGGAAATTTTCAGCCTTGCCAAATGGGTTTTTCAAATATTATTACAAAACATTAAAACATTGGTTTTTAAATATGCAAAACATTAAAACCATAAAGATGCTTATTATTATAAATATTTAATTTTTAATTTAATATAAGTCAATAATTTTATTTACTTTTCGAAACCTTTTACTTTTAATTTTATTTACTATTCCGAAACTTTTTTGAAGCTGGTTTAAAATAAAAAATTTATGAGATAACTCAAAAATTTAGACTATTTTCTAAATATATATTGTATAATAGATGTAAAACATAACAGACAAAACAAACAACGTAACCGGTGTTTACCAATGGCCCAATAAAAAAATCTGATTCTAAAGGATCAGAGATATCAAGTTATAAAAGCTCTGTGGTGTAAAAAAAACATAAAGACACCAAATACACTTATGACTTGTGAGGAAATGGTTTCCAATATTGAATATCATTATCTGGAACCTTTGAGGCTTTTTAAAATGGTCTATACATGTATGACGATGAAAATATTTTTTATAATTTTATAAAAACTTAACAATATAGCTAGATACGTTTGCTCGTATCGAACTATACTTTTGTTCGTATCCTAGTTATACTAGTTATTTTGATAATGTCAAAAAAAGATTTAAAATACGTAAAGAGCATTACATTTCTGGCTATTGTTTTATATAGGAACTAAAATACACAAAATAAAATTCAAAACACACTTAAAATACATTAGGACATATTTTTATCGTACCTTTTCTTTCACATAATAATTGATATTTACACAAAGATAGAAAGATATAGTTATTACCTCTTTTAGTTAAAGAAATTTTTATACCACGGTGTGTGTAAAAGATTGAATTAAGTTTCTGCAAGAAGGAGGTACTATTTCCTGATAAATATACTTTGCTTTTAATTTAAGTACTGTAATATTTTTTATATATTGCACATTTAGTGATGGAAGCTATCGGATAATTTAAACTATGGATAGTAGCTAACTGAATGATTTTAACTATCAAATGATTTTTGGTGAATCAACAAAATTCATTTGTTATTTGCCACATTATTCAGTTACCATTTTCACTATTACAATGTATTCGCTACGAAAAACATTCATTACTCGCCTTTTCAATTGTCATATTCAGTGAAAAAACAAAATAGCAAATTACTATTTCAAGATATAGCAATTTTCCCGGATTTATTAGTTAATAAATATGGGTCTATATATTTTACCAGGATTTTATTTTAATTTTATTAAAAACAAATTAATTTTCATCTGCATCACTATATTTATAATGCGAGATCACAACCAACAAACGTGAAATAACAATGATATGTGTACACATATCGTTTATTTGAAAATCAGATAATAAATAAGATAAAGTTTAAGTTCACGTCTTGAAATGTAAAAATTTCTCTTCAAATTTGTTGAAATATTAAATTAAGCAGTGTTTGACTTAAATTTCTTTTTAAAATTTAATTTAATTTAGTTTTTATTTAAATTTCTTTTTCTTCAATTAAAATACTTACCGAAGAATTTCTTCGTCTTAAATCTACAATTTCATAGTCGCTCATTGGATAATCCACATCCGCATCGTTGATTGTGCTTGTAGAAATACTTAGCCACGACGGCGAAGTACAACTTGGAGCATAAAAGTATCTTCTATCGTCAAAAGGCATTGTTTTAATATTTTTACTTGAATTTTCAGATATTAAAGTTCTATCACTATCATAATCGCTTGCGTTAGATGAAACACGTGTTCTTTGTTTATTAATGTCTTCTTGATCAGAAACTGAACCATCTAATGGGTTTACTATTTCACTTTCTTGAATCGTAATTAATGATTTACTGCCTCGATGTTTGAAGAACTCAGGTACCTGTTGAATTTCTTTGGTTAAATTGTATCCTTCATTATCTCCATCTTCACTACTATTTTCTTTAATTACTAAAGGATCCCCTGACACAGTTGAAGAAGCTGTGGAAATTGGTCTTGGGTGAACATCCGCAATAACGATATTTTGGCTACTTTTTTGTTGGGATTCGTCCATTGTAGCAAGAACTGTTGAAGCTATTGATGGACTTTTGCTTCGTCTATTTTCCAAATCAGAAAATGTTTTTTTATTATAAGTGTTAACCGGTTGAAAAGAATGTGAATTTTTTTCAGATTCGAATTTTATTTTACTTATTTCATTCGATTTGTTATTATCAATTAAATTTAAATCTTCTGTCGAAGTTATTGTCTGGTAGCTTACTATAATTGTGGTTTTGTTATTGTTATTTTTGTCATTAGAAGTATTATTACTAGTAGCACGTGATTTACTTTTATCTATTTTAATAGCACCATTCGCGCAATATAAATTTTCTGTTTTATTAGCACCATCAACATTAACAGCTATATTTGGCACATTAGTTTGACATTCTTTCCCATCCAATTTTTTCTCAATTACTGACTTTACAGATTGTACATCTAAATTAAAAGTGTCTCCATCATCACCTTCGCGTTCGTCTTCACTTGTACGAATTTCCAAGGCTGCAGATAGCGGTCTTTTACTATGCTTTTCTAATGATCGTGTTCTTCGACGTGGTCGATTTCTTTGATGTCGATTTCGATTAACTTTATCAGTTTCACTATCAGTCATATAATGTTCAACATTCTTGCTTTTAGTGTTAGGAGTATCCGGCATATAATCACGAAATTTAGCGTCAGAATTCACAAAACTATGAACAGTTGGAAATGTTAATTCTTCCCCAGCACGTTGCCATTTTTTATTGATAATAAATGATGTATCATGGTATCGTATACTTGGCTACAAAACAAATTCAATAAAGTATTTAGTTTATCTATATGTATAATTTTTTAATATGGCTTGCTATAAATTGAATTATATTTTATTTCTTTTCATAACACAATAACATATTATTCAAAATCAATTATTCAAACTTTTACTTTTAAACAACGAATAAATTAATAGTTAGTCTAAAAATTTTTATTAGTTCCGAACGTATTGTACAAGAAAAACTGCACATAAACGAATACAAAACAACCACAGTTAAAAAATTATTGTACTAAAAGTTTTGTTAAACGTACAAGCAGATAAAAAGTTTAAAATTATGTTTGAATTTTTTTAAAGGTTTGCGTCTTTGAATCAATTTTTTATATTTTTATTGTTTCAACAATATTGATTTATTTTCTTCAACAGTAATTTTAATATAGGCTGTTAAAATTAAAAATTAAATTTTTTTTATACCTAAACGTTTATTATTTATTATCTTTGTATTACGAAAAAATAATTTTCCTTTTAAGACAAAGTAAACTTTAATATTTTTAACACAATTTGAGCAATTTATCATTATTTTTCTTTTAACTACAAAATGTCTTCGCCTAACATTATGCAAAAATTTTAACATCTAATATAAAGAGGATAAAAAATTAACAAAAGATAACAAGAATAAACAAAAAAATTTTAACTTTTACAGCCTGTATCTCGCTTTTTCATTCACTTTCAAATTAGAATTCTCATTATTTTCTAATAGTTGTTTCACTTTTCTAATAGTTGTTTTTCTTTTCTAGTAGATTATTCATTTTTTTAATTGGATTTCTACATTTTTTTTCAAGTTATCGATTGAACGTCCCACTGAACCCAAAAAAAAAGTGAATAAATTTTGAATGCAACTGCAAAGTTTAGTACTAGAAACTCAACTGGTTTTTTCAAAATTTGAATTGATCTTAAAATTAGCTGTTTAAGAAAATTCTTTAGAATTAAACAAAAACAAAAGTTTTGAATTGATGCATGTATGTATGTATAATAGTTTACTTTTACCGACCGACCACATTGTTTTCAATTTTTATCCATAGGTATGGAACGGATTTATGGAATTTTTTGGAATTTGATGTTTGAGTTCAGGTTGTTACCGAAACTAACTGGTGAGCTTTTCAGGCGATTCCGATGACACAGAGCGAAATTCTGTTAAGAGCCAAATTTACACTTTACTAGATATGTTACCCAAAAGCTTGCTAATTCCCTTAAAACTGAAAGAAAGTGTTCAAAATGCATTTTCATAATCTTTTATAACACTTTCAACAAACTAGGCAATATACATTGCAGTCGGTTATGTGCTGACTACATCAGATTTTTTTTTAAATTTTAAATAATTTCTGAAAAAAAATATTCAATTTCGTAAAGTTAAACAAGCATGCATAGTTAATTTTGTAAAACTATTTATATTTCAGTAAACATCACAATATTACATAATATTTTGCAATTATATAAACAAAATAAGAATATAAAGAAACCAAAAGCCATTTAAATACATGTTAGCGGTTAATCTTTAAATCAAAATTAATTTCTTTTATTGTTTTGTAATATTCACACATACATTTACACGCAGCATCTTGGCTTTACCGCCCAAATTAGTAAAATGTGCTTAAATACTTATAAATATTATGTACGAGTATATGTGTAATAGTATAAATTAGAAATATTTTTTATATAAATGAGAAAATAAAATAAAAATAGAAATAACTGACGTATTATATCATTATTATCAAATAAAAATTGAAAAATTAAAAAAAATCTAGTTTACCTTGATAAAAATATTTCTTTAAGAAAGTTATGCTAACAATATTGAATAAAGCCCTCGGACAAGTTAATATTAGCATGATATAAATGGTGTATAATTATGTACATATGTATGTCTGTTTACCAAAAATATGGCAATAACAATAGATATGTATAAATGTTTATTCAATAATTAAAAGAACGGGCTAAGTCAGATATTTCTAAATCCCCGTTTATTATTAGAAACCAACACTTTAAACTGTATATTGTCTTGCCGAAAACGAAAATTCTATTTACACAAAAATTCTATACACTTACATATGAAGAATTACCTACATTATGAAGAATAAAATAAATAAGTTAGTTAAAAGCACTAAATCATAAAAGTCAAAAACTCTAAAATTATTTCCCATACTAAACTTTTCTATTTTTGAAAATGACCTTGTAAAATTATTTTATTTATTTTTTACAAAGGTTAAGCCTATATACATATTATGTATACATAAGCCCTAAAAAATCTTTTAAAATGTTTTCAAAAATTCAAAATGTTTTGTTGAAATTAAACCCTTGGGATAAAAATTTAAACTTTGAAAAATTAAAACTTTATACTGAGAAAAATTTTACCAAATAAAGATATTTTTCATAAACAGAAGTGACACAAAATATATCCGAAATCGCGACAACCACACTTTATAGCCAGCATTTTTAATTTTCACATAAATGTATTTACTATTTAGAGCTTAAAATATTGTAATTTTGAACATAATTTGAAACATGCTAAGAATGTAATTATTCGTTATAGACTTGTGGAAATAATGCTTTCAAAAAGTATATAGCAGTGTAGTACATTATTAAAATTATGTACTTTCATTCATATATGTACGAACATATTCCACAGATTACTTTTAAGGATAAGCAATTTACACAATCTTTGAAATAAAATAAAAAAAATTAAAGAGGCGTTAACATAATGCTCGGAATTAATGATTAAATGCGTGAGTTAGAAAAAAATAATATTTTTTAATGGGATTTATCGTTAGCTTTCTTCATTTATAGAAATTTGGAAAAGTTAACAGTTTTGGAAACATATGGCGCCAAAAATTCGAATTTCAAGAGACAATAACCTGAGAGGTGGAAAAGAATTTTCTTCAACGAAATGAACTATTTATCAGTATCTAAAAGCTATTAAAATTTAAGGCAACACCCTGAGATCTAGTGGAAAAACGATAGCAAAAATTCAAAAAAATTTTCGAATTTCAGATAATGTTAAATTTTAACAGCCATTTTATTTTTTTGAACCTCAAGTATGGTAAGTCGCGATAGAAGAAGCCAGCCGCTATTATTCTGAGTTTGCAAAATTTAAAAAATGCTTATGGTTTCGCTGCAATAAATAGTTGAAAAATGGCATTTTTAGAGTTTTGAGGGGCTATAATTTTAAGAGAAGGGGAGATTAGTAAAAATTTCTAGATTAGTTTCTATTAAACATATAGTTATGTATATAAACTTCAGTTTTTTATCTACAAGAGTGCAGAAGTTTTGTTAACATGTCCACCAACGGACGGAAATGAATAATTTAATGAATAATTTATGGCAAAACTGCGAAAAATGACACTTTCTATATTTGAAGCAATGTCACACTAAGAAAATATATGCTAAAAATAAATGTGAGAGGCAAACAAAATTGTTTGCGTTTACTACATAACAGAACATTTTAGTCAATTGTAGTTCAAAGTCAAATAAGTGTCGACTTCGGTTGTGACATACTGCGATCAAGTTAAAATGTGAACAAAGCTGTAAAACACAAGCAGCAGCATTATCGTCTTTTAATCCAGAAATCCCTCAAAAACGAATATGTTAGAGCCTTCCTCAATTTAAGACTAGATTTGAATGAAATATAATTTATTATGTAAGTAGTTTCAAAGTTCTTGTGTAGCAATTTATTTAAAAAGATACTGTCTATGTATCAACCCATTAACACAGATCAAAGATTTTAGAATTAATTTAGATTTAAAAATTTTCTCTAACATTTGTCCACAACATTAACGAATGACATTTTTTACATTATTCCAAAATAAAATTAGTTTATAAAAATTTTTTTCCTCCATTTTTGTAACATTTTGCAAAAATCTAGAAAAAAAGTATTTTAGATATACAGCTAAAATACTTTTTCGTCTCAACTTTAAGATGTTTATGTAAATATTGACAAATAATTCATTTTACTACGACAATGTTTCTTTGTAACTTCTTTCCCACGCGAGTCATAATCACCATAAGCTCTATCGAACTTTTATAAAAGCAAAACATGTTATGACAGTAACGGTTGTCATGCCTATAACTATATCATCATTCATTATTTATATAATAACTTCAACTGAATTATTTTACTATATAATTCGAACTTTTTATTAGTAAACATATTTCGAAATTATACTCTAAAATTTCTCCCAAATTAAAAATTTGTCGGAAAATTATTCATATAAATCATTTTAATTAGATAGTCCAAAAGCTATATTATTACAAGCTAGGCTTAAATGGTTTTATAGTGGATGCACCATATTACAAATCGACCACATTTGATTATATTAATTTAGATAAAAACATTTTATTTCCTTTATTTCCTTTTTAAATGTATCATATACTTAATACGTTTATAAATCTACAAAGTAAAATATACGTATTTACTTACACAAATTTTTATTAATTAAAAAACCATTTTTATGGAAGCCATTTTTATTATGAAATTACATACTTTTTATACCCTGCACTTCGTGAAGGGTATATTAACTTTGGTATGGAGTTTGTAACTACTTGAAGGAGTCATCTGCGGTATGGACATATATATATATTCTTGCTCAGCGTAAAATTCTGCGTCGATTTAGACATGTCCGTCCGTCCGTCCGTCCGTCCGTCCGTCCGTCCGTCCGATCGCACGATAACTCAAAAACGAATAATGCTATCGACACCAAACTTTCACAAGTTTTTTCTTTTGTGCCAAGGACGAACCCTATTGTTATTGGACTAATTCGGACAACGGGTTCGGGTAGCTGCCATACAACTCAAAGAGTTTATTTTAAATATTTCGAAAACTAATAAAGCTATAAATATAAAATTTTGTATACATGTGTCCAATTACATTTTACACATGCTCTAAAAATTATAATGGGATAGCTGCACCGGTTCGGGTGGCTGCCATACAACTCCAGAAGCTAATTTTAAATATTTGGAAAAATAATAAAGTCCGATTCATGAAACTTGGCAGTTGTGTGTCCGATTGTAGATCAGACATATTTGTGAAGTTTAAGTGGAATTGCTTGACAGGTTCGGGTACTTGCCATGCAAGTCTAAAAGCTTATTTTAAATATTTGGAAAAATAATAAAGTCAGATTCATGAAACTTGGCAGTTGTATGTCGAGTTATAGGTCAGATATATTTCTGAAGTTTTGGTGGGATTGCTTGGCAGGTTCGAGTAGCTCCCATACAAGTCCGAAAGCTTATTCTTAATATTTCGAAAAATAATAAAGTCAGATTCATGAGACTTGGCAGTCGTGTGTCCAATTATAGGTCAGATATATTTCTAAAGTTTTGGTGGGATTGCTTGACAGGTTCGAGTAGCTCCCATACAAGTCTAAAAGCTTATTCTTAATATTTGGAAAAATAATAAAGTCAGATTCATGAAACTTGGCAGTCATGTGTCCAATTATAGGCCAAATATATTTCTGAAGTTTTAGAAGAATTGCTTGACAGGTTCGGGTACCTGCCATATAACTCCAGAAGTTAATTTTAAATATTTGAAAAAATAATAAAGCCAGATGCATGAAACTTGGCAGTTGTGTGTCCGATTGTAGATCAGATATATGAAGTTTTGATGGAATTGCTTGACAGGTTCAGGTACCTGCCATACAACTCCAAAAGCTAATTTTAAATATTTGGAAAAATTATAAAGTCAGATTCATGAAACTTGACAGTCGGATGTCCAATAATAGGTCAGACACATCCGTGAAGTTTCTATAAAATGTCTTCACGTGTTCGAGTAATTGCTACACAATAACGAAAGGTGCAGGGTATAATTCAATCGGTTTATACCGACTGAAACGTTTTTACTTGTTTTTACATTATATAGATAAACTCAGAGTCAGTTCTAGTAAGAAACCCAAAACTTAACTCTAGATCTAACATAAAGTTTCACTTAGTGCGCTGTTTTCTAAAACTGACTCGGATTACATTAAATCATATTGTCGAATGCTAATTAGTAATATTTCATACAATTCCAACTTAAAAGCAAGCCAATCTAATTGTAAGAAAAATTAATTGTATAAAATTTGCTATCAAATCACACTTACCGCTCTATAAAGCATGTAATGAAAATCCTTTGGTAAATCCATTTATTTATCAGTATATTTTATATAAATAATACGAATATTAAATAATCATTAATATTTTCTGTTGCACTAATTTCTTAAGTTTGTTATTATAAATAAGCACTTTCATCTATTATTTATTTTTAAATTACTGGATTTAGTACTCTTATTTAACTATTGTATATACAAGTGTATTTATAAATAAAATATAATTCAAATTATTTCTTTTTTATTTTATAGCCCCAAATAGTGAATATTAATAGCTTTGCTATAAGATCATTAAATTGTTTTTGATTTTCAAAAATACAGTTAATGAAAAAAAATAGTTTTTAACGAGATTTTTTTCTAAATATTTATTTAAAGTTTTCATTATAGCAAAAAATTGTTTTCAATATGAATACATATTTACCGTTAGTTTAAAAGAAAAATCGAGTATCTGCAAAATTAACTTTTACAAAGTTAAGTTTTCAAATGTCAAGTTAATATTAAACATGGTTTTCTAATTGTCTTCAAAGTTGTCTTTTTTTAGATACATAGCTAAATAATGCTAGCAAATATAAAAAAATCTGATGTAGTCAGCACATAACCGATCGCAATGTGTATTGTCTAGTTAAGTGAAAGTGTTACAGAATATTATAAAATTGCCTGTTAAATACTTCTTTCTAATTTTTATGGCATTAGTAGGCTTTATATTAATTAAATACACATAGAAGAATGTAAGTTTGGCTCTTAGTAGAGTTTCGCTTTTTGCTACCCGAATTCCTGAAATTCTTGCCGTTTTTTTCGGTAACAACCAGAAATAAAATTAAATTTCAAAAATTGGTGTTATGATTGTTCAAAAATTGATATATGAAATTTCAAAAAGGTTGAATATATTCTGCATAATGATTAAAAATGTAAAACCGGCCCGCTAAAAAGTGCAGGTCCCGAGGCCTGATATATTCCAAAAATTGATGAATCCGTGCCATTGTCGAAATAAACTTACATATAAAATTTCATCAAAATCGGTTCGGCCGAACTTGAGATACACGCGTGCACACAGACCGGCAGATTGCTAAAAATAGGCAAAAATTTTTTTCTACGGAAATAAGTTTGAAGGGTGTAAAGGTTTTGTAAACATGTCCACGGACGAACAAAGTGAAACTAATAAGCACTTTTTTCTAATTTTAAGAAAAGCTTTATAATGAAGTAAAATTGTAAATGTGCTTAAAGTGGTATTTTAATAAAAAAAACTATTAAAAAAAGAACTTTTCGTTTAAACTATCACACTTACGTACACACACATTACGTAACCTAATAAACAAATACTTTTGTATTTCTTGTTAATTTGACTATTTAGAATTAAAGCTAAACATTCATGAAAATCAAATTTTTTGTTCTCAGCAGTTAACAAAAATGTAAACTAAGAAAATTTTTAAGAAAATTGTTATTAAAACAGCATAATTATTGACATCGAAAGACGCCTGCATTTAAAGTACTTTTTATATATTTTGTAGTCAAAACAGTCAATTTTGCAGATGGTCAAGTTCCTTATAAGTCGACGATATATTCTGTATTTACACACATATGTATGTATGTATGCTTATTTTTGAAAAATTTAATTTTCTTGTTTTTCTATATTGATTTGGTTGCACCAACATTAATTTATAGGTCGTTCACAGCAGTTTTTTCTATTTTTTTAATTTACTATCATGTACATAGATATGTACATACATATATACATTTTACGATCAATTTCTCTATTCTGAACATGCTCAAAAATCTGTTTAAATACGTTTCAATATATGTATGTGCTCTTAATGAAAACAAAAAATATACGTATGTGGCTATGTACATATGTATTTATGTAAGTTAAATAAATAAGAATAAAACACTATAAAAGAAAAAAACAAAAATCTCCAGGATTTTTGAATCGTTTTTTTTTCAAATGAGATATTGCCCACGTTTAGTAAACAGAACAAAAACGGAGTACAAACATAATTTACATAGAAAATAATTAGCGTTTTAGAAAAAAAAAGTACGGAGCAGCAACAAGTATACGTACATTATTGTATACAAGTAGACGCTAACCTGAAGGTTTATACGTGCATATATGTATTTGGATTTTGGAATCTTTTTTCCCGCCAGATTTTTATTTTTATAAACATACTTACAAAATGTTTTTTTCATAAATTTATGCCAAAACTTATGTATTTATGGCAATTTTTTGTGTGCTTACATGTACAGGCTGTCTCGTATCAAAGTGCAATGCTATATACCGTTGTATAAATATATAGCAATGCACTTTGATATGAGATAAGTAGACAAAACCATTGTATGGAAGAGATGTTCACTTTGAAACGAGACATTTATACATGGTTTGCAGTGACATAACATACACTATCATTTGAGAGATCAAAAATATGTAAAATTTTTGTTCAGAACCAGGTTTCAAATCTTAGTTGCTCCCAGGTACAGGGATTTTAAAGAATTTTCATGAAATTTCTACTTACCTAATTTTATTGGCGTATAGCTTCCCTTCCGAAAAAGATAGAAGTTTTAAGTTAAGAGTTTTTGAAAGAAGTAGTATAAGGTTTTAAAGCAACATATTATATGATTTTGTATTTTGTGTACTTTCGGAATACCAGGCATTCGAACTTTAGAAAAAATCAAGTTTTTTCCTTTTTTTTTAGCTTCCCCAACTCCATTGTGAGAGAAAAAACCATTTGTGGTTCAAGATTCTAAAGTGTTCAATATAAAATGTAAGCTCAAAAGTATGACAACTACCCCAATCCGTTGTCCCAATTTATCCAATTACCATAGCATCCGTCCTTAGCACCAAAGAAACAACTTGTAACAGTTCGGTGGTATTTGCTTTATTCATTTTTGTGTTATTGTGCTTGTTGGACAGACGGACGAAGGAAATTGTCCAAGTCAAAGCATAATTATCGCTGAGCAAGGATATATACATATATGTATATATGTCAATTAAAATACCCAACAAATGCATTTGTCATTCGAATTTCACAATAATTATTTTACATATTGCTGATTTGATTTTTATACGTGCTATTTTATTTTTATTTTGTGTAATTTAAACTTAAGATAAATTTTGACAATATCTTTAGCACTGAAAAGAAGGGTTTGACCGCATTGCGTACAATAAAGAAGGTTATGTGGTGGCTCCAAATTCTACATATCGAGCTTTCAGTGAAAACACACTTCACAATGGCAGGCAAATGTACAAAAACTATTTTGAGCAAGATTTTGCTCTGTCGGTCTGTCTGCAGTTTGGCTGAAATGATTCATGAAAATTTATATATGTATATATACTTGTCTGTGTTGTGGATTGATCTACTTTTGGGACATGTCACAGCTCAGAAACTGGCTTTTTTAAGGGTTAATTTTACAATTTTAATAATTATATTATTAATTTTTTTAATATTCGACAGATTTCCTTGAAATATTATAGACAAGCTTTATCTGACAGTAGGAGAAACTACCTAACTTTTTGAAGAAATCAGGTCATAGCAACAGGACTTTTATTATGGACCAAATTTATATTTTTGCTCATATAAAAAGAAAAAATAAACAAATTTCCATATAAATTTAATATATGCACTTAGCATAAAAAGTCTGCGCACACTTAACGTTCTTATACATTTTGCCTTGAAAAAAGGTTAACTAGCGTATATATGTATGTATTGTTTAGAAATTTTAAATTTTTTTAAAATACTTTAATTTTAAGAATAAAACATTTTACTTCAAATAAAGTAAAAAACTATAACAAAAAAAAATACATTAACAAAATTTAGTGCGAAATATGTATATGAAGAAAAAGTCTGCCTAGACTCGTAGAATTTCTGATTCCCAGAACAAAATACTATATCACTTTGTAACATAAAATAATATTAAAACTTGTTTTTATTTTAGCTTAGTTGGAATTTTTTTAAAAAAGCTTAATATGACATCAAAAAGAACGGAAACATCAATAAGCGAAATGAATTGATTTTGAATTTCTTGAACGGTAAAAACCTTAAAGAAATAGGCATCGTCAAGAGAAGCCATTTCTGTATACAAAGAACAATTAATAATTTTAAAGAAGCTGGTGCTTAACTCTCTAAGCCACGTTCTGGTCGAAATCGACACCTAAGTCAAAGCTATAGTCAAACATGTGAAAATAAATCCAAAAATAAGTAAAAAAAAAAACAAATGTGTTTAGTATCTAGAATAAATCGTTTAAAACGTATATAAATCACGAAAAAAAAATATTCATATATCCCTTAGCTTCTGAGAAAGAATTATTTTTCGAGTGAAAACATTATCGAGTGAAATTTTGCATTATTTGAATCTAAGGAATTCAGTTGGCATGGAGAAAATGTAACTCAAAAGTTGTTCATTCGTACCAGAAAACCTACGAGAAGTCTTAACAAGAAAAGGCAATCCAATTTCATTCTAATTTTGTGAATTTAGTAACATTAGTTTAGAAAATTGCGATCCTGCACGCAGACTTTTTCTGCTCTGTTCTTATGAAGTTTTGTTTTTTATTTGTTTTTTCTGTTATTGTTTTTTTTTCTTTTTGTAAAATGAAATGTTAAATGCTTTAAAAATGATTAAAAAACATATTTCTCAACAGTATAATTAACAGTATATTAAACTTTTTATGATTCAAAATATACAAGAACGTTAAGAGTACGTAGATTTTTTGTTCTAGTAGAAATTCAATAAGACAATGAATTTTTATGACATATTAGAACTCAGAAAACAAAGTGGGGAACGGTTTTACATTTTTTACAATATCTAAGGAACTAATTAAATCTTTAGAATTTGATAAAAGCATTTAAAATGCATTTTCATAACCTGGTGCAACAGATCTTTCGCTAACCTAGGAAATACATCTTGCAGTCGGTTACGTGCATTTTCATATCACATTTTCACTGACCGCATTGTGTACACAATAAAGTAGGTTATGTGATGGCAACAAATTCTACATATCGAGTTTTCGGTGGGAACGCACTTCTCTGTGGAAGGGAAGTGTGAATAAACCATTTTTAGCAACCTGTCGATCTGTCTACCTGTGTGTGCAGGCGTGTGTTCATTAAATTTTATATGTGGTTTTTTGTTTTGCTATGTCACGGATTGATCACCTTTTAGGATATATTTTGGATATAACGATTTTCTTGAAATTTAATATTTAAATTTAAGAAATTTAATATTTAAACTTGAGATTTGATATTTGAGTTCGTCTTGTTAATAAAACTAACTGATGAGCATTTCAGGGAATTTGAATGGCACAAAAGCAAAACTATTAAAAGCCAAAATTACATTTTTGTTAGTATGTTAACTGAAAGCTTAATAACGACATAAAAATTGAAAAGTATTTAACAGGCATTTTTATCATATTCTGTAACGATCACATAAGATTTTTTTATATGACATTTTTATCATAATTATCAATGAATATCATTTCTTCATATTAAACGGATTATCGGCTAAAAATATTCACCGGATTTTGTTGTGTTTTTAGGCAAAGTGTTTCATATAAAGTGGCAAAAAATTTCAAGGATG